GCTTTCACCTGTGCGTGGATGTGCCATGGCGTATTGTGCAGGTGGGAACTAGTCAAACACACGAACGCTCACACTTAACTCGTTTTTTATATGTTATATGGGCCTTCTTACTTTGTTTCGAAATAAAGAAGGAAAAAAAACAGTCAAAAGTAAACTATGGACTAAAAACTTTTAAAAAGTATTACTTAACAAGTGTAGTCGTGACGCAGACCCCCACCCTACCCAGGGGTGCGGAGAAGTTACGTGTGCTAAGGGCACTAAATTATCATCTCGGTGACCTTTTCCTTTATGTTTTCAAAGGCAACAAGACTCCTTGTCCAAGAGGAATGACAGGAATAGCACCAAACTGTAATGGTAAAATCTTCTAGCCATATTTCTTACAATATTGATAAAGAAATTTGAGCGAATATTACTTTTATTAAATTTTACTTTTCTTCAGTCTCGAAGATCGTCGAGTTTCCATACTCTGATGTGCCTCGCCCGAAAGTTGATTACGTAAAAAACATAAGCACTTTGGCCATGAGCTGCAAATTTGATTTTCCCCCTTGGAATAACGTTTCGTACGCTGTGAAATGGTTTGCGGACGGCAAATTGATTCGTACACAGTGGATGTGCGTAGACGAAAAGGTGGGGACGTGCGAACGGAACAATTTGGAATCGATAATAAACTTTGGAACTTTTAAAATGGGTCAAAATGTAAGTGCCCTTTGGTTATTGTTCATTTCTTTGTTTTTGAAACCAGGAGTAGATAGGCTATAATACTTAGCTTTCACTTACTGTTTTTTGCAATTTTGCTCGTGCAGAGGTATATGGCCGCTGCGAGAATTGGGTTAGGACGTTGTCTTACTGCTCAGTTCAAATTCTATAACGTACTCGAGTAATAGATTCTATTTAATTATCGTTTAACGTTTTATGAACTTCTGAATATTTATTTTAATCATCAACTTATTAATATTTGTCTACTACATCATAAATGTGCTAATCATGCTGATCGCTACATTTCATTATTATTTTGTTTTTGGTGCATCTAAGGGAGGCTAGGGTGTATTTGCAAACGATTAAGACAAAGATTTTAAAGTTATAAAATGGAAAAGTAACTTATAAACTTGTCCGATTGTTGATATGCAGCTGCATTGTGGAATTTCAATGAAATATTCAACAAGTCCTGATAACAAATGGTCAATGGCAAAATACAGCAATAATTTCTACGTTGGAATTGAGGTACTTAATGCTGCTATTTAATTCGATATCCGCAATAGATACTTCCATCCACGATTTTTTTCCAACTTTTGATATGAGAAAGTTAGCAAAAATCGATCAACTCTATGAGACAGAGAACCTCAAATTGAGCAAATTTGCCAAGTTAGAGGGTGATAGGTTGGAAAATGGCAGTAATATAGCTCCGTAAAATTGCCTATGGTAGGGGTCAAGTTTGTGCTCCCCAACAAACAAACGTCTGTAAAATATCTTCGCCTTAAATTTTCTAGTTTTGATGTGCTTTTTCCAATATTTTGGATATATTTTTGCTTACTAGTCCATGTAAAAAGTTTGAAAAACAGTAGAAGGGTCTATTCTAAGTTGCTTTAGCAAATAAAAAATATGTTGGAAATAACTTAATAAGGGAAAGTTCGTTTGGGGGGATGAAGATTTCTCAAAAACCTTATTTTTTTACAGGCCCCCCATAGGACTTAACCTAATTTTCCAAGCCCCCCCAAACGACCCATGAAAATTTTCAAATTTAAATTGAGAGCCCCCGTTGTATGCATGACAAATTTTTAGATTCCCCCTTTCATGTCCCAAAAAAATTCGTTGCATAAAAGAACTTTCCCTAAATTGATTGATGTATTCAATTAAACACTAGCTAAAACAGGCAATTTTTTTTACAGGTCACTCCACGAGTAGCAATTTTTGTGAAAGAGTGTGAAAGAAACTCCGATGTAAACGTAAACTTAAGACCGACAGTTCCAATAATATACAAAAGTCTATACTTATCTCCATTAGATCACCTGGACGTAACGATTCTTGTTCCGAAAAGGTATTCATATCAAAGAAAGCACATTGCTGTCACTACATGTAATGTTAAACTAAAAACAGAGGACATTTTGACTGGGAAAAATATTACCATCAAAGCAATCTGCGATGACCTAAACGAAGGCTCTTCCAACGAAGAAAATTTAGAAAAATCACAGTTTCACTTTGTACCGGAATCAACATATCTGCCCTGGGTCGGCTATCGACCACCGGCTTTGGTTGTAAGTATCTACAGGTGTATGTAAAGGTATGAATCTAGGGCGGGGATGGGGGAAGGGAGTTTTGCATCGAATCTTACTTGCCGATATTGTGAAGGTACCCTTAAGAGTATATTATATACATACACCTATACTCTAAATTTCTCTCTCTAAATTTCTCTCATATTCATTCGATGTTACTGCGGTTTCGATATTCTGCAAACTCGGTAGCTGAAAATAATCAGTTGGTACCTTTTATGTTTAATTTTTGACTGGCGGCAGCAAAAAATCCAATTTCACGACAAGCCCTTGAAATTTCTGGGTTCGGAATATCGAAAACCGCAGTAACTGGTTGCAAACTACTAATTAAAAAGACAAAATAATCATCTGGCTTGGTAAACTTTACACTACATAGCTATTTGATGAAATTCTTTGAATAAAGATGTTTTTACATATTTTGTACATGTTGAAGCTCATTAACGTTGCAGTTAACAGAAATTGAAAACGATTTCCGTTTCGAAGTGTGAAAAAGATTTGTTTGGTATTCCATCATGGGAATCGATAAGCAAGCCACGGGAGGTTTAGTTAAAGATTTAAACAAAACCTCCATCAGTTTTCGGAGACATTTATCACTAAACACACTTAGGTACCGGTCATCAAGGCGGATCCAGCCAAAANGGGCTACTTGAGTTTCTTCCGTCAACACAACGGAAAACAATATAAAAAAGCATCGTCTTTTTCTGCTGAAGGGATCTGGATCCTGGATCCGCCCTTGGTCATGCTATTGCTAATAATTAATGGCATATACATTTTATCCGTATAAAGTTTTTGTTCAGTATCTCAATTTATCTTTCTTTTTAGATAAAGATTAATAACACAGAAAAAAAAACTTGCTCTGGTCTTGGCGATCCACATTACGTGACATTTGATGGAAAGTAAATATTATTCATTTTCCTTTTTTTACAGATAATTCAACATCATTCACAAAATATCATAAAGTTACTTATAACAAATATTAGGTTCTTCCTCGTATCTCAGGTGTATCACAAGTTACACGGCCCTGTTATCTAAAAGAAATTCCCTAGGAGGCCGGCATAAGTAAGCAGGAGAGAATTAATCTAGAGATACGAAATAAAGTGAATGTTGCATCTAGGCCAGAACACACAGTTGGCTGTATTTTATAACCTATCAATATTTTTTTTCTTATTTCTGGCTTTATAATATATATATATATATATGTCATATTCTTGATATAGTACATTTTCTAGTTTTGCTTTCATCGAGATTCAACAACACTACTACTGATTCTTTTTTCTAGGACATTCGATTTTTACGAACCTGGGGTCTATCTTATGTACAGCAACCCCAATAAAAGTGTGGAGGTATGTAAAAGATTTAGCAGCGTATTTATGAATTGCACTTGCGTTAAAACTGATCTATGTAGTGTTGCAACTGCATCAAAAATATTCACTGACATCACACTGACATTCTATTCATTCTATTCTATTCAAGTACCGTTCTGATAATATTTCTATAATTTTAAAAAAGGAGGTTGTCGAAAGATTTTAGCCAAATTTATTAGCTTCTTTTCTAGTTAACGTTTGTTTGAGTCATTTTACAGGTTCAAGCCCGTCTTTGGTTGTGTACTTATGCTAAAAGACAAGTTTCCTGTAACTGCGGAGTCGCTATAAGAGAAAGGAACGATATTGTGGTTTTATCAGTTTGTAACGCCAAACTTATCCATGAACCATCTAAATCTTCTCCAATAATGATAAATCAACGTAATGCAGAACATAAGCCGCTAGCAGATGGTTTGTATATCTACAAAAAGAGCACAGGGGGAAAAATGGAATATAATGTAAGTCAGTAAAGGATAATGTCATTAACATTACTGTCTAGAGGATAATTAACCACTACCGATAAAACAAATCAAAGTTATAACAAAGTTATTTCTCGCGCTCTGATTGGTCGAATACCATTTTACATGAGAGTATCTAACACGCACACGTCATTCTTTCCGCAGGCACACTACTCCGAATTTGAGCTTTCATAAGTTCATTATACAAATTTGAATTTTCATAAAAGCTGGAAACCACTGATAACCGCTGTTTGAGATATTATTTTGTAAATCATGTAATACTACTTGTAAGAAATATAAAGCAGCTTTCTGTTTTGTTTTGTTTTTTAATTAAAGTTCAAACTCGGAGCGTGCGCGCGGAAAAGATGACGCCCAATTCAAATTTCTAATGGTTTGGGGTGGTTGAAACCATTGACAAAATTTGTTTACTTTTTTAGCGGCTTTCACGTCGGCAGCGGTCGGACCCGGAACTACGTGACAACTCAGTTTAAAATCCTTATACCCTATCTACTAAGACGAAAATCGAGTAAAACCATATCCTATCCAGCGGCACATTCCCGCATAGCCTAGATATATGGGAGTGTCCACCCCATCCCCGAGGCCAGCAGAAAAATAACTAATTATCTCTTCATTTCACAAATTTGTAGGTATTGTTGCCTTCCGGGACACTCGTCCGTGTGTCCCGCCATTCGTTGGGTTTAGACATTTACATCGATGCACCAAGTACTGACAAGAGTCATGTCTCGGGGTTTTGTGGTAATTTCAATGACGATCCAAATGATGACCTAAAGGGAAAAGACGGTGTACTCTACACTAACTATAATGAATTTGGAAGAACTTGGATGTAAGTAGAATAACGCGCGACAAATGACAATAATTACAAAACATGTATATTACCGAACCCGACTGAAATGCGTCCAAAGAGGAAAAACTACATGCAAAGGATCACTTCATCCAATTTTCCTTTTTAACGATCTAATCTGTTGGAGTAATGTCTTATTTAATTTGAACTGACAGGAATTCACCATAGCTGGGATGATGTTTTTCTTTGGCGGTTTATTTCATAATCTGATAAGCGTTGGGCTACTTCTACAATCATGTTGCAAAAAACACTTGACATACACACTTTCCCTTTCAATCTAAATATGTATGTGCGTGAAGAACGTCGCTTTTGATACTTTCAGAATGTGCTAAACGTTTATTCTTTTCTATTGATGGCAGCATTCCTTATGAGATGAGCTATTTCAAGATTGATCCAACTCCGATACCACCCATACCTGATGTGGAGTCTTGCTCATGCCCGACGGAGGAAACTGAAAATGCAATGACACTTTGTAATAAAACTGGAAATTATTATTATGACTTAAAGAGCTACGGGGAAATATTCACGCTTTTGCAGACGCCATCCGATGATCAGTCAAATTACGGCAGCAAGAAACGGTCTGTAGACGGTCACTGGTACAGTGATAACATAATTGATCACGTGGATCGAAGCTACTTTGTAGATGATCCACAAGTACAGCATGCTATGAACAGAATACGAAGCAAGAGATCACCCAAAGCAGAGATGTCAAAGGAGGAAGCAACGAAGTATTGTAGAAGTCATATAGAGGACACGAATGCAGGAAGGTCATGCAAAGATGTTTCAAGTGCAAACATTGAAATTGCAATGGAACAATGTATCACAGATTTAGAGGTAAATTTAAGCTTAGCAGTCAACAAAATGCCTGTAACATATTTTCAGACATCATACTGAAATTTAAGTTGTATATTATCTTACTTTATACCTATAATGGCAGCTAAACTATATATTCGCGCTATGACGTGTTTGTTTAATGTTAGTGCACAAGCTCGGTACTATTATGCAGCACTTTTGTTCGTATCAGAAAGGAAACACAACACAATTCAGTCAAAACTTATACAAACCTGAAAAAAACACTCAAAAAAAAACCAAAAAACTTAACGATTTCATAATCGAAGCCGTCTCTTGATATTTTCAGTTGTCTGGAGAAACAGCATTTGCATATTCAGCTTTTGATTTCATGGCGTACGAGTGTAAAGATGCTATTTTCAAGAATGTTTCACTCTACACAAGAAGTCCAGATGGTGACTTAGTACCTCCTACAGAATTAGTAAAAGACCTATGTCCTTCAGACTGTAGTGGACGTGGCAAGTGTAAGAACAGAACCTGTATATGTGACGAAGGTTACACTGCGCTGGATTGTTCCATGGAGATTGGTGCAGTACCTGAAGTACTGGGGTAAGTATGAAGAACTTATTATAACACCAATCTGCAATAACTATAAAATCTTTGAAAAGAATTTACTGTGAAATGTTATTCAATTGCAGCATCTACAACGGAGGACTTTGTGATCTTCGAGAACGTCCTTGCAGAAAAACTAATATCAAGGGCCAGTATTTCATTAGCTCAGAAAATCTGACCTGCCATGTTCAAGAAATCGAGGTATCTAATCTAGTCTTTGACTCACTAAACATTTTACTGTCTCATATCAGTGCTAATAAAAATTAAATGTAATTTCTATAACCCAGTTACCTTTTATCACTTAGAACAGTAGTCACAAATTTAACAAATAGACATTAGTTTTTTATGTGTCTGTCCTCTTAATTATTGACGATAAATTGCGTCATCACATTGTCAAAGTAGTGTGGATCCGCATACTATTTTGACAACGTGATGACGAGATTCATTGTCAATAAGAGGACAGACAAAAAAAACTGATATCTATTTGTTTTCTACAATGACAAAAACGATAAAAACTTCTCATTTTTACTGACCAAAACAACTAGCGGAAAGAGCGCGCGCTCGTTGACGTCAGCTTTATCTGTCTGTCTTCTTATTGATGATAAAAAATAACCAATCAGCGCGCGATAAAATTTGTAAGTTATTGTAACCAGGTGATCTCGGAAAGCGCGCAATGCATGATTTTCTGACTTGAAAAAGAATCAATCCCTAACATGACCGTGCGCCTAGAGTCCTGCACGAAACATTGCCGTGAAGGACGCCATTTTGTTTTGAGTTGGATTTGAATATGTACTCTCTTGAAATGTAGTGCGAAATATTGGTGAAAAGAAGTCACTAGCGCTGCACATTGGAAGTTTATAGTAATGTTTCAAGTTATGTACAAGAAACAATTTTACAAGAAAAGTTTAACAAAGTTAACCTTACAAAGTTTTTTGTTTCGAAAAATGATAGAAAACTTAATAATAATATGCTCAATTTGCTATTTAGTAGTAATGTGTATGTACGTATATTAATATTTTTAACAACAATAAACCTTTTTGATTTAAAAATGTGTTGTATTTACGTGCTATTTTTATATACACATCTTGTTTTTTTTCTGCTTCTCGAGGCGCGCAAAGGTCTTTTGGGACTGATTCTTTTTCAGCAAACGCGATTCGCAATCTGATTGGCTAATCTATTTTCGTCAGATCACCTGGAAAAAGTTCAATAGCAGTCAATCTTTCATGTTTCTAAATTTTTCATTTTTATATCATGATATTTGTGAAGGTTTTCCCAGGTCCTTGGTCTCCCCGTGGACAACCTATCAAATTACCTGGAGATATGTTCGATCTGTATGGTGTTAAATGCGACCTCCCTGATCCACCGACGAGACTTGGTGATTATGATCAGGAGGGAACCCCTGCTGGGGGACTTATTATCTCAGTTTCTAACGATGGCTTCAATGCAAGTGTACTAAGACTAAGACACGTGTCCTTCGATTCCAAGTGTATGAACTGCAGCAATTCAAGCATATGTGAACGTAAAGTGAGTACACATATGTACTTGTGTGATTTTTTGCACCGTGTGAACAATTTGATTTTTTTCCCTTTCAGCCGAATTCCTGTCTGATCAGAGGACATTGTTTTGCTGCCAACGAGCCAAACCCACGTGACTGGTGCCAGCAGTGCATACCCAGAGATGACCAGAATTCCTGGACGCGTAGGAAAAGTACATGCCTATGTCTTGTTTTACACGAACTTCAATCAAATTTTAATCGTCACGACCAATACACAAACAACCTTCATCACTGGTCGTCATAACGTTTTTTGTTGCTAACATTTATATTTCAGTTAACCAGGCACCGAAGTTCACTACCAAGAAAACCATGTTTGCAGTTAAAGAAGAAGATCTCGTGATACAGCTGAAAGCAACAGATCCTGATAACCGTCCTGTAACATTCTCTCTACTCAGTTCTACAGCTACTGGCCACACATTGAGTACAGCTGGTCTACTAAGATGGAAGGTCACGTCGAATGAGAAATTCACCTTCAAAGTGACTGACGAGTGTGAAGCGTTTGATACAACAGACATGAGAGTGCGTATAGTACAATGCCCGTGTCTGAATGGTGGCCAATGTGTACCCCACCCCTACCATCCACGGGGTTCTGGTCTGTATCAGTGTAAATGCGTGAATGGATTCAGTGGAGACACATGCGAAAGGTGCCCTGGACTAGTCTGTAAGTAAATTAAACAAGATTTCGCATCAAAGGCAAAAGCTACGTTGCACGGCAAGGTCACGGTACGAAAATGACGACATTCGTGGAACACATCGCGCGAAATCAAAACTTATTAGATGAATATATTTGTTTTTGTTCCACACATAAATGTTTTAAACTTTCTATTACACGTTAATTTCTTGTTCATACTACTGAGCAACCAATACACCAAATCAAACATGAATCAAATCGCTTAATTTTACAGGTCCTCCTCGAAATCTCAGTGTAACAACTTTAAGTTCAACAAAAATCCAAGTTGAATGGGTCGAGCCACAAGACAAAGCATTGGACTATTATCTTTTAGAGGTGTGGTTAAAACTTTAAAAATTCTAAATATATAATTAAATAAAACTACAGCTATATAAATATATATATAACATATGGTTTCTAATAAGTGAATCTATGTTCTGACTCTTTAGTATGGTCCAAAGGAACAAAAACCAAAAATGAAACGTGTATCAAAGACTATGACTAGCTACACTCTAACCGAGTTGCGAAAGTTTACAGATTATCGAATTGGCTTGTCTGTGGTGAATGCTGATCGAACAAAGAAAGTTGAAGTCTCAGCTAAAACAGCTGAGGATGGTAAGTATATATTAGCTTAAGAAACTTTTATGCAACTTGTATTGCCATGGTAGTCAGATGACGGACTTAAGTAAATGAGATGCGTGACTGTATATCATTGGTGGAACGTTAAAATCATGAAGAAAAATTTCAATGCCCGTATCAATGTGATAGCACCGTATTCCTCCAAGCATGTTAAATCATTTTTCTGACTTGAATCGACATTAATTTTTAAAACTTTAAGCGTTTTTAAAATTCTTTCCCGCAGTGCCCGATGCTCCTCCACTTATAACCGACATCACTCCTGTTAGCCATGATACCATGAAGGTCACATGGTCACCAATAGTCGAGGACAAACGCAACGGTATCATCAAAGGTTACAGAATCTACTACAAAGCTGGATTACCAGGCGGCAACTGGGGAAAGTGGAGGTCGCTTACTACAAGGGACGGAGATGCTAAAAGTGCTATCGTTACAAGGCTGAAGCCGGCTACTTCGTATTGTTTCAAGATGTCCGCTTTTACAAGGAAAGGACAGTATCGTCTCTGGATGACTTCGGAATGTTGGATGAAAAAAAGTAAGTGAATAGATTATGAATGAAATTATCATGTTATCCTTAAGGTTCCGACACACGGCGCAACTGTTGTGTTGATAGTATAGCTGTCGAAAGAGTTTTCAAGGAAAGTATGCATGTATCCCCTTTTTCTTCGCTGTAAAAAAATATAAACGACACACATTTAGCAGAGCTTATCCCGCCAGCTGTATCATCGTGAAAGTCACCAGCATTTCATTGGCTGTAAACATCACGCCATTGCCAGTAAAGCGCTAGCTTTCCAAATGTGCCTTCACACGATATCATTTGTTGTGCGAAATTACGGAATTAAGTCTTGATTCCACGCTGCCGGCAACGTTACGTAATAGTTGCACCGTATGTTCAGTTGGACCTTCATTAATTTACAATGAAAAGTACTTACAATACGAAACGCATTATATATATCATGCCGGCTCGATTTGTATATTACATAAAAGTGCTCACCATTATATTGGGATGGTCAGCAAATTACTTTCTAACATTTGCCTTGCTTCTGTTTTACAGCGGCTTCGCAAAATGAAGAATAATGAACTTGCGAATACAAAGATCCGAACTTCTATGGAAAAAAAGATGCATATGATTTTCAAATAATGGTCCCCAACTACTATTTAATTTCAATGTTTATGTTCAGTGGTTTGAGCCACCTGGTGTTGCTGAGTAGTGAAATTTCTAAGATAATACTTGAAATCATAGTTTTTCTCTTTTGAGTTTTTAAATAACAAAAATAATTCGGATCATTTTTTTACATAAAATATTGTGAATGGACAGTTCTATAATAAAAATCCATAACAAATAATTTCATTAAATCACTATCATCTCTTTAAAACATTAATTGAAAATAATTGCTGAAATTAACTTTCTTTTCTAATAATGTAATATTGGTTATATTGTTTGTGCGCATCTGTTTTGCGCATATGGCCTGCTACATTTCAAAAACAACACGCAATCTCGTACCTAGAGTCTGCGTTTCTTCTGGCCTGCGGCGAAGAACGAGGGCTCTGGCATAATCCAGTTTGAGACCAAGATTTCTTAGACTTCCGGTATAAGAGCGCATGCGTTCAAAGACTTGCCAAAACATATTATGTACTTATTGACTGAGTGGGAGGGCCGTACGGGAAAATATTTGACTCGAGGTGATGCCGTACGGACCGAGCGCAGCGTACAAATGACCGAGAGCCAAATATTTTCCCGTACTGCCCGACCTAACTCAGTCAATAAGCGTTTTATTATATCAATCTAAATTTAAAAAATATTTTAAAAGCTGCAAACTATGTCAATATGGTCGCAGGATTCGAGCAGGGCCGTACGGATTCGTACGGCCCTGCTCACGCCATTTTCCCGAAGGTTTTTCTAAGAGCGCGCTCCCGGGCAGATACGGGTCATATGATAATTTATTACACATTTAAGCTCGATATCCGTGAAATAAAGCCGTGAATAAAAACCATATCAGTGAAGTGATACGATATCACTTCGCGGTAAACTGTAACTGTAACTTGACTACGATAGTAGTCAAGAGTGACGAGATAAATCTCTATTTAGTGTTTATTTCTATCAAATTCAAGATGAATTTTGTGCTTCTTACATCGCTCGAGGACTCGCTCGTTCGCGATATGATACGGAAAAACTCGTGAATAAAAACGATATCAAGTTCTTAACATGTGATAATCTCTCTATATATTTTTTACCAATTTCGAATTTTTACTTCGATTAATTTTACTTTGATTTAATTTTTACTTTGATTATTTTCATTGGTTATCATTCGCTTTCCGAAAATTGCGCATGCGCCAAAAATGGATTATGCCGGAGCCCTCGCTTTTCGCTGCAAGCCAGAAGAAACGCAGACTCTGGGTACGAGATTGAAACAATACGGTCCCCATTTTTTATTTTAGTAATTTATAAAGAATATAGATAAGCTGTCATTATACCAAATTTGAAAAAAAACTTATGGGACTTTTATAATGGAAACACGTATTTGGATGAAAACTTTCATAATAAGGTAGTTCCGGTCCTTTGCTACTGCGAAACCTTTCTAGCATCTCGTTTTTTACCGTTCATTAGCGTTGTTTTGAAAATTTCTCCAAATAACATCTTACTTTGACTACCTTTCTATAATATGACAAAATATTTCGTAATTTCATTCAAATTTTGAGGTAAAATTGGGCACAGATTAAAGGTTCTCCTGAATTCCGTTCGTGTTCAGTACTTCGCTAGGGGTTGATGAGGGTTTTATAGCTATGGCATGGATCTCCCTTTACCAGATGGAGTACAGCGGAACCCCGCCTTACGGCCACCCGCTTAATATGGCCACCCCATTATTGCGGTCAGCTCTTTTGGGTCCCGACGAAATGCCCATCTGTAATATGTACCCGCTTAATAACTTTTTTGTGGCCCGATTGACAAACTTCCATATTTTTTAACCCCGTATTACGGCCAGGACAAATAGGTTACAGTTTACATCTTAATGTAAATACTGTAAAGTTATTGCTGCAAAATCTGTGATTCATTTATTCATTCGGTTAACATTCTACAGTAATGAACAAACACAATAACTTCAAACAGAGATACACGTACAGCGCGATGCGCTAAAGTATGTCTGCATTTATTTTATAGCGGTACAGTATTAAAACGAGCCATGCCGATAGCCTGTTTGGGGTGATATCCAGCCTCGAGTCAGTATGGCTTCATAGGAAGCTTCATTTGTCTGTACAGAGCAAAGTCACTGCCTATTTTAAAAAGTAGTTGCTACTGTACTCGGTTTTCTCTGCTCTACTGTTATATCTACAGTCCTGTACTACTGTATAATTTAAAGTTTTAAAGTACTACTAAAGTTGAGTTATAACTGAGCTCCAATAGAATCAGAAGTTTTAGAAACATTATTTAAAAAAACAATATGCATTATTGCACTTAATTTGTTTAGTAGTTTCGTACTGATTAATAAAACACGTTTTTAACATATTTTTGACAGCCCGCTTAATACGGCCACTCCGTTTAAACGGCCACTTTTGAATGTCCCTTCGGTGACCGGATTAACGGGGTTCCACTGTATAGCAATAAAAAAAAGGGCTAAAGCACAGAGTATTTGATGCTCTGCTAGAGCCATGGCGAATGGTAAGTGAAATTTGCTAAGTTTCTTCAAAACTCAGCTTGGGGGTCAATTGTGATGTCAAGTTCTATTTTGATTTCATCGAGTGCAGCAGAGTTGAACCGAGGTTAGTAATATACTTCCTTTCCCCGCTGCGTAAATACCAATGCCTACGTTAAGTTTAACATAATAATGATAATATAATAATAATATTATCATTAACAATCGCACGCTTGATATAGTTTTCGTTACATTTCTAATTATTGCTTTCTTACATGTTTTTTTTTCCCTTTTCCCTATTTATATATAATAACCTTCTTGCGATTAGGTGTAACTTTCAAAATCGAAAATTACTGGAATAACCAAGGTATAAACTAATCATTCAACTTATTCGACTCATCGCGTCTGAAGAAGGAGCTACGCTCTGAAAACGTTTTCATTTATTTAACGTTTAAAGTGCTACTACGACGAAAATCGCTCAAACTTGGATTCAGCTGAAACTTCCTAAGAATACTCTTTAAAGGTCCAATAAACACTGTATGAAGTGTTTTCTCGATATTCAGTACGAAAGTATGATATTTTTACGATTATWTTTTGGAGTCTGTGACGTCATACACTCAACATCAAACATTTCTACATATATTTCTTTGTATATAAATCCTTAATTTATTTTATTCCTATAAAGCCCAAAGGGTGGCTAATGTGCTTGCCATTACTTGTGACTATAATTTATATTTTGGGGTGTTTGGGTATTTCTTTCTCCCTTTACTAMTGATATTTTCATAGTCATAAACTACAAAGAAATGTATGGAGCGATGTTCGATGTTGAGTGTATGACGTCACAGACTCCAAAAAATAATCGTAAAAATATCATACTTTCGTCCTGAATATCGAGAAAACACTTCATACAGTGATTATTGGACCTTTAAAGAGTATTTTTAGGAAGTTTCAGCTGAATCCAAGTTTGAGCGATTTTCGTCGTAGTAGCACTTTAACATTTTATTGGCTTATAAAGAGATAATAGATAATATTTCTACAACATAAGCTAATTGATAAATCGATACTTTCTGTACGACAAAATACTTAGCATTATCAAATGTCGCAGCACTTTCGTTTTGAAATGGATGCTGAGCAAAGTCTTTTGATATGCTAATGCTTTGAAAAGTGTTTGTTTCAATTACTGGTTCTACCATAAAAGGACGTAATTTTAAAAAAACAAGACCCTGAAGGCAGGGTAGACTGGGATGCCTGGAATGCCTGGGAAGGACAGTTTACCTCACTAAGAATCTAAAGGCAAAGTTAAAATAAGTTGCCAAGTTTCGAAAGACAGTGATAAACCTGTTATGCAATCAAAATCGTCAAAAATCTTGAAATCCAAATTCCAATTCCAGTCCAACCGAGTTTTGGAATACGTAATCTCAATCACGCAGCTTCACACTCTGATAGTCAGACGGGAATTTTCAAGTAGCGAAGTTGATCTAAAGGTCAAAATGCACGCATTTACGAAAAAATACGCACTCTATGACTACACGTAGCTACAGCTTTACAAGCCAATAATAAAGGCATAAACTGTGAGGTAAGATATGATCAAAAAGACACAAATAAAAAGAATAAATGAAAAGAATAAATAATAATGAAAATAAACGTAAAAACTGAAAAGAAGAGTTTGTGTAGTTGCTAAAACAAAAATAGAAACAAATGGTCATAGCGGGCTTCCGCTATTAGGGTTCCAGTCTACAGTCCGATCAATTAGCTTGTACCAGCTGTCAATCAATGTCAATATGTTGCCAAGTAATTATGAAAGGGAGGATCTAGCAGATCACGTGACAGAAATTTATTTCTATGCATGCTCTATTTCCGCGTTGACTGCTGTAATTCAGGACAGCCGAACTAGAAATATTAATTAACCATCGTAATCGTAAACAAGGATTTTTAAGCAAGATGTTAATGACTTCTAAGCGAGGATTTCTAAGAATCTCCAAATTTCATAGGCAATAGATTTTTTAAAAACTGTTCATACTTTGATTCAGCCATTCAAAGCAGTATTTACTGTAATCGAAGATTACGCGGTTAAAGCCAGAATACTGCCGACTAAGTATCTGTATTAATACTAAAGAATATCTGAATTACAATCCTAGAAATCTTCTTTTATTGCTCAATTACATTACTTCTCAAAGCCCGGAATTACATCCTCAGCTGCTAAGCCAATCTATGAGCCATTTATCTATGAACACGACGTTCAAATCCATATATGGGTACTCTTGCGCAAGAATGCACATTTCGCGAGAAGGAGTAGACAAAAAAACCAAATGCATTTTACGACTGGGCTGCCACAATAGAGCTGGTAACTTTGGCCTTAAATACTTTTCTCTAAGTATTGAACCATTTTACTAACTGAGTTTCACAGTTCCATTTCACTGGTTTGGATATTTAAAAAGACTATATGTGCAGAATATAATCAATAATGGAGAGATCGGGAACTTCAGAACGGTTAGCGAAAAACAAATAACGATTTAAACACATTTCTAATCGAATTTATGTCGCTTATTTGGTACGTCATGTACACGGTTCTTGAAACAAATTTATTTATTTCGTCAGTCAAAAAGAATCTTTGTTAGGTCAAAAGTTATCGTTTAATTTAAGATGGAGAGCATATTCAAACTTAGTGACGTCAGTAACGCAACGTTGTTTTCTCCGTCTACAAAGCCGCATCTGTCAATGTTCGGAAGTTCTGAAAAAAGTACACCTAAAATGTTCCAAAGTGCCTCCTACCCCCAGATAGCGGTACATAACAAAGATTAGGTGTTAAATCACATTGGGCAACCCAGTGCACGCTCCAAAAGCGTCTTGTTTATTTTACAACCTTGATTCTTTTGATATAAACAACCGAAAGCAAAGCTATGTGAGAGTGTGAGCATGTTAGACATCATCCCACATTGAAAAATGAGATTCCAGTTCCTGATATAAGTATAGATGATTTAAGTCTCTTCGTGTTTGTACGAAGTTCAAAAATAAGTTTCGCGCAACGTTCGTAAGCCGATTACGTAAGACAATTGATAAACGTTTAATTATCGATCTGCTAACGTCATATATAGTGAGTGAGTGATACATTTGCGTATTCAAAACCCCTCACACTAACTCGTTTCTACTAATGGCCATTTCAATCTAGCTAACCATTCTCTTTCTGACTTCATTGTTTTCGGTTTTTCTTTTGATTAACGGCAACAAGGATTGTCGCAAGACCAAAGAAATGCGGCTTATTCACCTATTGGGCACTCTTAGTCCCAACGGATTAATGAACGCTTTACTTTTAACTAACCCTTTCTTTTGTCTTGATTGTTTGTTTTTGTTTCCTTGCCTACCTTGTTCTCATTGTTTTTCCCCCGTCTTATTCTATCATATAAACACTCTTTTCCACCACCTCTTTCTGTTTTACTGCAAAGAAGAATTAGCGTCCGAAACATCAGTACGTTTTTTTATCTTTTCACGGTGTATAATTTACCTTTTTATCATTACTGATTTATTAGAAACACCGACGCAGCTCACACTAGTTTTTAGCTTGTATCTCTAAGTATTAAATCGATGAGTATACGATACGATTGAATGAACTCTATACCGGCGGGAGTGCCTGAAGACACAAAACTAGGCCCGTGGTTGTTTCTTGTTATGATTAATGACCTCGATATTCCGGCCACTCAACTATGGAAATAATAAATTGTTGGCACAACTATCTCTGAAACCATTGCAGAGAACGAAACTAGTACCGCCATGGACAAGTCACAGCTCAACGAAGCAAAATGTAAGGAACTGCGTATTAGTTTTAGTACCAAGGACACTCATTTCAAATCTTTGGCTTCCATATTCCAAACGACCTTATAAGTGGGGTCTTCATATGAATGAAGTTGTTAAGAAGGCTAGGAAACGGTTGTATTTTTTATCACAGCTTAAATGCTCTGGCCTATGTACTGATGAGCTAGTTCAGTTTTTTCTTACGTTATGTACCGCTATCTGGGGGTAGGAGGCACTTTGGAACATTTTAGGTGTACTTTTTTCAGAACTTCCGAACATTGACAGATGCGGCTTTGTAGACGGAGAAAACAACGTTGCGTTACTGACGTCACTAAGTTTGAATATGCTCTCCATCTTAAATTAAACGATAACTTTTGACCTAACAAAGATTCTTTTTGACTGACGAAATAAATAAATTTGTTTCAAGAACCGTGTACATGACGTACCAAATAAGCGACATAAATTCGATTAGAAATGTGTTTAAATCGTTATTTGTTTTTCGCTAACCGTTCTGAAGTTCCCGATCTCTCCATTATTGATTATATTCTGCACATATAGTCTTTTTTTTCTTTTAGATCAACTTCGCTACTTAAAAATTCCCGTCTGACTATCAGAGTGTTATGGCGTTATATTCCCGACAAAATTCAACCTCAGTTTTTCAACATTCTAATAAAGAATTGAGTGTTTCACTTGCAATGCAATATTGTTAGTTGCTTTTCCGACATTGAAGATTTCGATTTCAACTTAGCTGTAATCTCGTCCAACATTCGAGTTCCACGATTCAAAATTTCGTGTCTGGACAAAATTCAACATTGTTCTTTTGACATACATCAAGTTCAACATTCAACTTTGAGAACGTTATTTTCTAAACAGTATATTAAAATGAACCATTAGAGTTTCTCGTTCAAGGACTAAGGCTTTAAAGTTTTTAGATACAAGCACATATTATAATATAACTAGATTATTACGCCCGCTCTGATTGGCCAAAAACCAATGAACTATTTCCCCATGGGCTGCACGCTAGCCTGCGTCACATCCGGAATTTTCTTCGTAAATACGTATTTACGCAACTTCGTTCCCAGGGCCCTCTCGGCCCGACTCCAAAACAAAATGGCGGTCGTCGGGGAGAAGACCCTGGTAAAGGCTGGTCACGTGACCTAAAATACTCCAAGATTTTTTGGAGTATTTGATCACGTGGTTTTCGTTTCAAAATGGCGGCCAAACTAGTATTTCAAATCGTGTAAATGTGGGAAAAAAGGCCTTTCTTCGTGTGTATGTTGCTCCCGTTTTAGATTACAAGACAGTTTTTGGATTGCTTGAAGTATGAAAGCTGCAATTTGTGCGAAAGTTCACCAACAACCGTTTTTWAGCCATTTTTTGAGTCGCTTAGAAACAAAAGTGATGTAAACTTACTCCGGGACTTTACTTATATGGTTTCACTTTCTACTGCTACTGCTACTTCTTATAGTTTTGACTACTTGGATACTGAGTTTCGTAGTTGTTCATTGTCTATCAAGTGACCCGTAGCTTAACTGTTTATGAACACGTTTAACTATTGCTACCCAAGACGTATCTTTCATGGAGGTTTTTTAACACCACCACCAACAATTTATTACTTCAATACTTTATTTATTTACAATATTACCGTAATTTATTACTATAAATATACAACTATAGTTTATTACTCTCATATTCATAGAATTATTAAGGCAACAGACAACTTAAAACACTCGTATGTAAACTTCATGTTCAAGTTCTTTCTTTTACTCCGTTTGAAGACTAATCATGCGCAATTAAGTTTTTCATAACTTCCTTGCGTGGTATTTTTGCACCCTGTACTATGATGATTTTATTATGTATTATGTGGGGTATCATGTGTAGCTTCCAGGTCATATTTGTGAATAAAAAAAAATCTTTCGAACCTACTTTGTTTCATGGCGGTTTTTAACATCGAACTAAGCTGTACCAATCATTCAAACCTTGTATGCGCCATTTAGGATATCAGTAGAAGCTGTTGGGTCATTGCTCTTTCTTTTTAAATCATAATTAACACGACTTTTTTTAGGATGAAACGATTTACCGAGGAACAAGACGAAATACAGATAAGAAGTCCGCCATCTTGTACTATAAAATTTCGACCAATCAAAGTGCTCGTAAAGAATTTTTTCAGGGACCAATCAAAACGAGTGATAGAACAGCCTTTACCAGGGTCTTCTCCCCGACGACCGCCATTTTGTTTTGGAGTCGGGCCGAGAGGGCCCTGGGAACGAGGTTGGTATTTACGAAGAAAATTCCGGATGTGACGCAGGCTAGCTGCACGCTCGCGCACGCTGATCTCAACGGACGCTCGCCTTTTTTCTCTAAATTTTCAAACCCGATGGCGTCAATAGCGCGCGCACGAGCGAGATGTGTGATATAACGCGTGCTCTGATTGGCTGAAATGCCTATGAACTATTTGCCCATGGGTCGCACGGTAGATTTTTGGTCATATTGTAAATCAGTTAGACGACAAAAAAGCGCTCGCCCATGGCGATATAGGCGCACTTGAGAAAATATAAAGAACTCTTAACAAGCTAGAGTGTCACTCGGCTTCGCCTCGTGCCACTCTTTCGCTTGTTAGTCGTTCTTTATATTTTCTCTCGTGCGTCTATATCGCCATGGGCGCGCGCTTTTATGTCGTCTAACTGATAAATCTTTCCGTCATTGTTGGATTACAATCCAACATTCAAGTTCTACCATTGAACTTCACGCACGAGTGCGTTTGACCTATGCACAGGCAGCCCAAACAAGGTTCCTGTGTATGGTTTATAAGGGAATGTATGGGAGTTATGATAAAGTTACGAAAAACGTTTCACTCAACAGTTTGCCTCAAAACCTGCTGCAGTTGTTGCTTTTACTTTGTTCAGTCGCCCACTAAACGGCCTCAAATCGCGCTGAAACTTCGCCAGAAGACTAGCTTAACTTATGTTGTAGAAATATTATCTATTATCTCTTTATAAGCCAATAAAATGTTAAACGTTAAATAAATGAAAACGTTTTCAGAGCGTAGCTCCTTCTTCAGACGCGATGAGTCGAATAAGTTGAATGATTAGTTTATACCTTGGTTATTCCAGTAATTTTCGATTTTGAAAGTTACACCTAATCGCAAGAAGGTTATTATATATAAATAGGGAAAAGGGAAAAAAAACATGTAAGAAAGCAATAATTAGAAATGTATTGAAAACTATATCAAGCGTGCGATTGTTAATGATAATATTATTATTATATGTTTATTTCAACTTCAGACATTTTTGCTACATGAATACATTATATTGCGGGCATGAATAGTCTAAGCAATTATCTGCATGACTGATTTTACAAAGATGTATACAAATTTAACAATTGTACAGACGTTTCACAATCTCACAGTTCTGTGAAATAACCCATTTCTGACACATTATTATTATTATTATTATTATTATTATTATTATTATTATTATTATTATTATTATTATTATTATTATTATTATTATTATTATAATATTATTATTATATTATCATTATTATGTTAAACTTAACGTAGGCATTGGTATTTACGCAGCGGGGAAAGGAAGTATATTACTAACCTCGGTTCAACTCTGCTGCACTCCATGAAATCATAATAGAACTAGATATCACGATTAACCCCCAAGCTAAGTTTTGAAGAAACTTAGCAAATTTCACTTACCATTCGCCATGGCTCTAGCAGAGCATCATATGCTCTGTGCTTTGGCCATTGTTTTTATTGCTATACTCCATCTGGTAAAGGGAGATCCATGCCATAGCTATGAAACCATCAATAACCCCTACCGAAGTACCGAACACAAATGGAATTCGGGAGAACCTGTAATTTGTGACTACCTCCTTACAAGAGGATGGTACAGATTCATGAGCAATGTCGGTGGCCAAATACCCACAGTCAAGCCAAAACCATATCACTGCGGCACAGTTGCCCCTATTTGGATGAGGGGGATACTTCCAGCAACTCGAGGACAAATCGTTAACACTACGGCATGTGTTAACATGTACGACATGTCAAACGGCTGCTTCAGAACACATCAGATCTCCGTAAAGCATTGTGGAGACTACTTTGTATACTTCCTTGTACCGACTAGAGGATGTGCAATAGCTTATTGTGCAGGTACCTTTCAAACATTCGTTTTAGTACTTTTTACGACTAGCAGTCTTACAACAAAAGGAATTTAGCATAGCGAAAAATTCCGTGCAACATGGCTGCTAGTACGGCCGCAAGTATATTCAAATCATGCCGTGACAAAATATATGGCGACGAATCATAAAGAGAAAAAATGGTATCGAATCTTTACAAAATTTACTCGTTGACCGAAATGGCACTTTCATCAGCTTTAGAAAAACATAGATAATGACTATAGCGATTACTAGTTGGGACTGCGTTGGTGTATTGTACAATCATTACAATTAATAGAAAATAAGTTAATGTCGTATAAATGTGACAAAAATACCAATCTAGGTTACTGATAGCTGATTACCAAATCTAAAACTGCAATGTCTGTATTTAAAAAAAAATGCATTGCGGCCATTTTTGACATGCCTAACATATACTCTTAAATAATTATGGCTTTTGATATGTATGAAGAACAAAAAAGAAAATTTTTTAGATTACCTGAATCTTTTTTTAATTTTTTTTGTTGATACATTTTAGGAAACCTGCGTCCTTGTCCAAGAGGAACCTTTGGAGAATACCCAAATTGCATAGGTAAGTCCATTTTGTTTTCATTGAACAAAAGGAAATTAAAAAGTTCTTGACCGCCCTTTTACTTTCCACCAAGAGAGCCCTCTTGTTTCCACGTTTTCCAAGGCATCTGACGCCATCTCACTGTCTCTATCTCCCTGATCTATTGACGACTATTAAAACTCCAGTGTATGCGGGCTTAGCCTCGAATCCATGAGTTGCTTGTTTTGTCATTCTAATTTCAGCTTTTGTTTTCCGACCTCAGAATTGAGGCTAAGCCCGCATACACTGGAGTTTTAAGAGTCGTGAATAGACCGATCCCTGCTATGCTTGAGTGTCTACCTCACTAATACTTTGACCTGACTTATTCATAAATGTTTAGAGCGCTTTAAGATACGTAGAATCGAATCGTATCCATCAAGTCTAAAAGAAAGACTAAGAAAGTTTAATAATTTTTTGCCGAATAATCTTATTTTTCGTCTTCGGAATGATGATGGCATTCTAAGCTAAGTTTCATTTCCAGTTTGGATTACCCTCGTCTCGGTTAGTGACGTAAATTAATGTTCATGAAGCATGAACATTTTAATATTCATTAAAAAATGATAAACAATCACATTCTTGTGCTTGGACAAACAACTATCTACTTGACAAGGTTTGTCTCTAAATCGCCTATATAGGCAATTTAATTACGTAACATTACTATCTACCGCATGATTTAGGATGACGCACAATACAAACCAAAAACCAAACTTAGCGATACATTTCATGACGTCTTCATTTATATCTTGACTCATTGATTTTTTTCAGACCACAAACCATTAGATTTTCCCTACGAACTTATTCCAACGCCAAGAGTAAAACCGAAACTTGACGATCAGCCAATGGTTACAATGCAATGTGTCTTTGATGACTTTTCCAAACAGTGGAATAACGTTACATTTTTGGTTGAATGGTATAAAAATGGAAATTCTACCCTCAATCAGACGGTCTGCGAAAACCAAGAGAATTGTATGGAAAGGGCAGGCGAGCTTGCGCATAACTACTACAGACCAGGGGATTGGGTGAGTATTCTAATTTCATATTTCTCTTATTGATTATTCATAATTCACGCGATAGAACACGACTTATGGATATGCTTGCAACTTAGTATATTTTTACTTTCGGAATCTTTAGCTCTCAAGGTTTGATTTTTAGATCAAAAGGTCTAGAGACCTGGAGTTTTAATAATTGCTGCGAGCCACTAATCTTGACGGTTAAGTTAAACAACTGTTGACGTCATATCGTGAAGAGGACATACCCCCTAAAAACATCGGAAATTTTTACAAATCTAATGCTTAACCAGCGTTGTAAACATTTCAATGTACTATTCAAAATAGGCTGACAGTTACAAATTATTGTGAACATATAGTAAATGGAGAGAGTTTTTAAACTAGTTAATTCTAATACTTTAAAATCTTAAATCTAAAATCTCCTTCAAGATAATGTTTTTATTTCATTTTTTTCTTCATTAGTCACCGTGTTTCCACTTAAATTGCTTTTTATCAGGACCGTCAATTTGTCCGTCCGTAAAACCTCCTCGAAATAAGTCTGTATCTTTTTCACTTACTCCCTTCTTGTCTTTGAAGATTTGAGGCGATTTTAGTGGACGAGATTTTCAAAATTAACCCTTCTCTGACTCTTATGATTACAATTTAACACATATTATAATTACTGATCTTATCAAAATCCATTGTTTTCAGTCTGCATTATCCCAACGAATGCATAGAGGAAACGCCCGAAGCTGCCTGCATTATATCTACGAATGCTGCGTGTCGAAGTGATTATCTAGTATAATTATTGTTCTTATCAAAATCCAATTGTTTTCTTTCTAGCTTGTTTATCATAGAAACAAAGCCAATAATGAATGAACTAAATATGTCTGATTTTCCTCTATGCATTCGTTGGGATAATGCAGACTGAAAACCATGGATTTTGATAAGATCAGTAATTATACTAGATAATCACCTCGGCACGCAGCATTCGTAGGTATAATGCAGGCAGCTTCGGGCTACGCCCTCAGCTGCCTGCATTATACCTACGAATGCTGCGNCCATTCAGCAATCCATCTTAATGTTCGCAGCCTTTGAACCAAACTGGATGAATTGAAGATCAGGTTACGCAATTCGAAGCCTATTGATGTGCTCACATTTTCTGAAACTTGGTTACAGCCCAGCATTAGTGATGAAGAAATAAATATTCCAGGCTACACATGCATAAGGAATGACCGCACGTCCAAGGTTGGTGGTGGTGTAATTATTTATTGTAAAGACGGCCTCCCTTTTGTGGAAAGAGAAGACCTAAAGAATGAAAATGAATCCGTGTGGATACAAATTAATCGTAAAAGTTGTAAACCACTCGTCGTTGGATGCCTATATAAACCACCGGATCAGAATATTGATAATTTTAACTCCTCTCTGAGTAATATTGATCCAAGTTAAGAAAAAATCGTTCTTGGTGATTTTAATGTTGATTTTAGCAAAAATGCTAATTCTCAGCAAAAGCGAAAACTCGAGACAATAGCAGAGCTCAATGATCTTTGTCAGCTAATTAAGTCACCGACTCGCATAACACAAAATGCTTAATCTATTTGATTTTAACAAATGTGCAACAGAAAATTAAAGAACAAAGAGTACTACAAGTCGGGTTGAGTGACCATTTTTTGGTATACTGAGTTCTTGAATTTGGAGTAACAAGATCAACGCCTAGAACCATTGAGTTTCGTTCGTATAAAAATTACAACAAGAATGCTTTTGTCGCGGACTTAAAGAATGTACCCTGGCATCTCGCCTTTGATGATACTGAAAACATCGATGATTGTGTCTATATTTGGAACAAGTTGTTTTCCGATGTCATGGATAACCATACCCCTATCAAGAGGCGAAGAACAAGTCGTCCTTCCTCGCCTTGGTTAACATCTAATATTGCAAAACTTATTAGTGATCGTGACTACCATCGAAAAAAGCCAGGGGGAATAAGACAAACCATCATTGGAAGAAATACAAAGAGCTAAGAATGCTGTACTTCGACAAATTGAGAAAGCCAAGTCCGGCTACTACACTAAGCTCCTTCAGGATTACAAAGGGGATTCCTCTAAGCTATGGAAAGCCTTCAAACAAGTCTTACCAACCAAACTGGAGGTTTCTACCTCAAATCTGAAGGTGGAGGGTGAGACTTATAATACTACCAAATCAATAGCAAATGGATTTAATCGATTTTTTGTGAGCATTGGAAACAAACTAGCTGAATGCTTTACATGCAATATTAGAATTAGTGCCAACGACTCTGCTACTTGTCAGAACTCTTTCACACTTTCACCTGTGACAAATGAATTTGTGTCCAAGTTTATCACCCAGTTGAAAACTAACAAGGCTACTGGTCTTGATAAGATAAGTGCACGTATGCTCAAAGATGCAGTGTCGGTGATTACGCCTTCACTTACCCAGTTGTTTAATCTATCTATCATGAACAGAACATTTCCTAAAATCTGGAAATCAGCGAGAATTGTGCCAATTCACAAATCGGGTGCGAAAGACAATCCTTCTAACTATCGACCCATATCCATTCTCCCGACAATCAGTAAGATCTTGGAGAAAGCCATTCATACACAGCTAAATTCATATCTTAATGACAATCAACTTCTTACGACAAATCAGTATGCCTTTCGACTTAATTCCTCTACAGTGATTGCCACAGCAAAGTTTACAGATAACGTGTTAAAATCAATGGATGATGGAGAACTCACTGGTGCTATCTTTCTCGATTTGGCGAAGGCGTTCGACACCGTCAACCATAAGATCTTACTACGAAAACTATCTTCTCTTGGTGTTGATGCCCATAGTTGTGAATGGTTTGAATCCTTCTTGACTGGTCGTTCGCAAGTTACTGTGATCAACAACGCGTAATCTGAAACTGCTCAAGTTCTATAGGAGTGGCCCAAGGATCCATCCTGGTACCCCTACTGTTTACCATCTATATGAACGACCTCCCTAACACCTTAGATTTTTGTCGTGTAACTCTGTTTGCCGACGATACAGTGCTGCACTTTTCATCTAAATGCTCAGATACCTTACAGGAGAAATTAAACTGCAGTGACCTTCAAAAAGTCTGTAACTGGCTTAAGATGAACCATCTGACAATTAACATCAAGAAATCCAAATTCATGATTATTGGCAGTTCTCAACGCCTGGCAAATCTATCCTCAACTCTGGTGTTCTCCATCGAGGATGTTCCCTTGGAAGAAGTGCAGAGCTACAAGTATCTTGGTGTAGTCATCAATAAGAATTTATCATGGCATGAACACATTGACTATGTCAAATCTAAGATAAACAAAAAGCTAGGGCTGCTTAAGCGCATTAGAATTATTTGCCAATCCACAGTAGGCTATTATTTTATAATTCTTATATTTTGCCATTGTTTGACTATGCTGATATAGTCTGGGGGGATCGGGGTAAAGAGTCCTTATTTTCATTCATAAATGTAGGAACAACTTCTTTTCACATAGGTTTGATCTAAGATATCAGCAAGATATTCATAGGTATAATACCAGTGTTAAGTCTAATATTCGTAAGACAGCAGCTAAGCGTAAATGGGGACACTGGATATCAATTAATTTCGCTAGTAATGACTGGAA